ATAAAATACACTGGCCTCTCTCTTACTGAAAAGGTGAAACACCTCCGAGAAGACCTTGTGGAAGAGAATGCCTCTATGATTGTCATCACTGCTCTTGATGAAGTTGCTTGTAAGTCATATTTATTTATTTATTTATTTATTTATTTATTTACTATACCAATGTACTTAGTGATTGTAGTTTCTCACCTACAATGTGAACTTGCTTCAACTCTATAAAGCGAGGTTGATTCGTTCCATGAAAAGTTTTGATAGACTTGTCAATCCCCCAGGCAATCTCCAGGCCCCCCACCTACCCCAAGGTAAACAAAAATTGATTGTGCCTACTTTCATTGTAATGCATCTACATGTTTGTGACTTACTTTCCAAGAGAAAGTAGTGTAGTGAAATATCTTCTTTATCCTGAAGTACATTTATGTACAGTGGCACCTTGATTAACGAGTTTAATCCGTTCCGGCACCGAGCTCGTCATGTGGAAAACTCGTCTTATGAAACAACAAAAAAACTGTTGTAAAAGGTGTCCGAGAACCAGCAGAAACTCTCATTAATCGAGGAAAAGCTCGTTAGTAGAGACAAATGTTCTGAGAGTGGCTTGCTCGTTACTTGAAATGCTCATAGATAGAGCCGCTCATTAATCGAGGAGCCACTGTATTACCTGTCAGTTACCTCGAAGACAAGCAAAACGCTTATGTAATACACAGATTTTGCAAGAGTTTTTTGACAGATGAGACCATGGGGTTATTGCACACAAAATGTACTCAAAAGGAATTATTGACAAAGTAGGAAGATGGATTTTTAACTTTCTAATGAACAGAACCCGGAGTGTAATAGTCAATAAAGTGAAATCTGGATCATTCGCCTTGAAAAGCTCAGTGCTTGCTCCAGTACTTTTTCTCGTCTTCATATCAGACATAGAAAAGGATGCAAACTATTGCACTGCATCATCCTTTTGCAGATGACATTGGAATTCTCGTGAGGGTAGACAATATTCTGTAGAAGGCACAATGATCCTTAATCTGATGTTAATCAAGTCTTTCAGTGGACAATATTCTGGGGGGAGCCCCGTCGGCTCCCCAGAGCTTTACCAGGCTGATATGCTAATGTCAGACTTTGGCATCAGTCATGTGTATGGAGTTCTAGGGCCTACCGGGGACCACGGCCAGAACCTGGCCCCCTTAGAGAGGCAAGGGGAGCAATGGCCTATAGAAACCCCCGTGTGGTTGGAAGCATTCTATGTCTGCCATTGACCGGGTCAAGCATCCAGAAAGGTAAGCATTCCAAAACAAACCCCTATTCTGGTTAAAATTGCTACCTAAAGCTGAACTAGTGGATAGAACTCCAACAGAAAACAAGCAAACTAGTATGATGTCACACGTCACCGCGCCACTGTCTGCACAGCTCCCCTCTCCCCGGGAGGGGGAAGGGGGAGCCCCAGACCTCCCACGCCAGCTATCCACCCATCAGTTCTTCAGCTGATGCTATAGGCACCGGTTATGTGCTCCGGCTCCAGTAGTTGTTTCAGCACTGTACCTAGAGTGTGGTGTCTGTCTTCTAGGTGGTGCGTGAGCCGGGAGTGTGTCTCCAGTACTCGGGCTGCATGCGCCTAGGGTTCCCTTCCCTAGGTGGCCTGTAAGTACTGCCCTTGGGGCTTGGGGCCACCTTCTACAAGTTCCTTGGGTCCTGCCCCTGCTAGGCCGTTTACTGCTTGGTTTTCGGCTGCTCTTTGTGTGCTCGGGTGTTCTCTCTCCCTTGTTCGCCTTTGGGTAAGGGGCAATTTTGCACTGGTGGGGCGCAGGGTACTGTGCAGCTTGTCTTTACCAATCATGGCGGCCGGCTCTGTTCCGCCTGGGTACACTGCCCTCTTGCAGGGTCTTCTTTTTCTTTTTGTTATCTACCTGGTGGGGGGTCTGCCTTCGTTCTTGCCCCTTGTGTTCCTTGTGTTGTGAGTATTTTCTGGTGGTACCCCCTGCTAGGTCCCCGGGGATTCAGCTCTTAGAAAGTTGTTTGGTAGCTTTGGGCGCCGGTAAGCAGTACCCTGCCTGGGATAACCTGAGCGCGAGTCCTCTTATAGTAAACGCTCGGGACCCTGGGAAACCCCTGGTGGCGCGTGGGTCCGATGGATGTGACCCCAGAGTCCCCCCTTGCTTCCAGCAAATTTGAGGGCTGCTCTCGCCCTTTGTCTCTGGGTGACTCTCTGTTTTGCCTCCGTCTGCTGCCTGTGGGATCGGTAACACCTTCGACCCAAGTCCTGCGAGTTTTGTTGCTCGTTGTGGCTCAGTTACCCAGTTGTGCTGACTAAGCGGGTGCGGGCAGCAGGGGCGTTGCACTTTGAGAGTTGGTGGTTTCAACGCTCTCGTGGTTTACTCCCCGGGAGCCCCGGGGCTGCCCTGTTTTGGTTCGTGTTGGGACTTGGGGGTGATGGTTGCTTCGGTTCCTTCCATGCCCCTTGTCATTTCCCTGGATCCCCCTTCCTGCCTGTATCCAGTTCCTTACCATCTGTAGGATCGAGGCGGGTTTGATGGTGTTGAGACTCGGGCAGTCTCGGGGAATTCCCCTTCCGGGATAGTGACGGGGGCATTGAGCCTGTTCCTCCAGCCGTGTTGTAAGAGTCTGCCAGTGGGCTCCCTTCCTTAGTGTTTTCGCTGCTGCCCTGGTTTTCTGGTATGGCCGGGGCTTTGAGGGGACGGCTTGGCCCAGGGGCTTGTCGTGTCGGTTCCCGGGGCTGGGGAGGGGCTGACGACTTGGGGGGCCCTTGGCCCCGTAGGACCCCTTGGCCCCGTAGGACCCCTTGGGTTTTTTTCTCCCCCTCTAGGCGGGGCTTGTGGTTATCTGGAGTGGGGTCTTTCCTCCCCACTGCCATACGTGCTGTTGGGCGTCGGCCCCTTCCCGGGCTCGGTTCCTTGGCGTTTGAGTCGGTTGGTTCTGTCCTGTGGGTGGATGCTTCCCCACCCCCCCATTTTGGGACGGTGTCTTCGTCATGTTTCCCCGTTCTTGGGGTTCTATGTGACTTCTGGTCTCGGGTGCGCTTGCGCCTTTGTGTGCCTTCGGGACTAGTGTTGGCTTCTGTGTTCTTGAGGGTTCGGGAAGCATTATTGGAACGTCTGTCAGCTCCTCGTCCGGGTCGCCGTTTTGGGCTACTTGTGGCCCTATTGGGCTACTTGTGGCCCTATTGGGCTACTTGTGAGCCGGATGGGCTACTTGTAGCAATGTTGGGCTACTTGTGGCCCGGTTGGGTACCTTTTTGGGCTCTGTCTTCGCTTCGTTGGCCGGTTTTGTTGTTCCTGCTTCCTCTTTTGGCTCCTTTTCTAGTGCGGTAGTCCTGGTTGGCGCCTTCCCGCAGAGCCGTTCGCACACCAGTGATTGAAATTGAAATTGAAATAAGTTTATTGAGGTAAAATACACACAAAGGGATGAGGTAGCTCAAGCTATTCTCACCCCGTTCAGTACAACGTGTTAGTACATACATAGACACACATCACAAACAATAAACCTGTTACCAAACATTCTGAGAGATAAACATGTACATTTCCTCCTTCACAAGTAGTATGGTATCAGACGTACACAAATACTTTTATGACCTAGTTATACGGATAATTCAACAAAATATTACAGTCTTGGTGCAAAATTCTTATATCTCTCAAGAATATCATCAACCTTTCCTTTGTGACACATCCAGGCTATTTGCTCAGGAACAGTCCTTATCTCAGTGTTTCTATATACATTAATCAACGGACAATCAAGAACATAATTGGCAAGGGTGTGAGACCTTAACATACCACATAGTTTACACTTCGTGTCATTATCATGAACACCTATCCCATATTCCCAGTAATATTTGTACCCAAGCCTGAGCCGCATGTACACAGAGTCACTCCAAGCATTTCTCCTTTTACCATAAGTGAAATGGGTGTTTTGACTCACATACATGTAGTGTTGCATGGTTAGACTTCTCTCATTACATTATCTCTCTCCTCTCCACTCCTGCCTGTGCCTGAATATTTATGATTTTGCTTCTTATTTGTCTCATTGTGAATTCACATTCAATATCAATTTGTGGTTTTGATATGGCACGTTTGGCCAAGTCATCCACCACCTCGTTGAGCACTATTCCAACATGAGATGGAATCCACATGAATTTCACACTATGACCTTTCAGCTGTATCTCAGTTATTCTTCTCTTACAATCCTCAACTATAGACATGAAGACTGGGTTTCAGCTGTTTAAGGACTCCAGTGCTCCTCAGCTATCGACAAATACAAAAACATTTTTGTCGTCATGATGTACTTCCTCCAAACACGCCAGAATGGCCTGCAGTTCAGCTTGTGTGGATGATATATAATTACTAAGCCGGAGTTCAATTATCCTGTCCACAGTCCCAAACTCCGTATATTCCCTTATTAGGACACCACACCCGGCCCTGCCATCCTCCGCCACCGACCCGTCGCAATATACATGTAAACTGTTGCCTCTTGGTAACCGAGATATCATGCTTCCATACAAACACCGTAATTGTCCCGGTTCATGATGAATCTTTTTCACCTTGAGGGGTACAATTTCGACGTCTATTTTCTGTACTTTCCAGGGAGCAGACATATTACACTGTCGAGAGGGTTTACAGCAGTCAAGTACATCGTATTCCCTGAGGTCATGAGCTAATCCCCTCGTGTAGCGTGTCTCCCTCAGTTTCCTGGAAGTGTGTACGTCACTCAAGCAGGTCTGAACGCTCTCAAACAACTTATCCCCTCCTTTTCTCCAGTGATTGTCCCTTTTTTAACCCTTTCAGTCCCACTCATGTGCATGTCCAACCCATGCTAGAGTCGTTCAGGGGACTCACCTTTTTTCGTGTTATGAGGTAATTACCTAAGTGTAATTACCTAAGTGTAGTTACAGAATGAAAGCTACGCTCGTGGTGTCCCGTCTTCCCAGCACTCTGTCATATAACACTTTGAAACTAAAACTTTGTGTGTGGGTTGTGGTGCTGGTTATGTACTCACCTGGTAGGGCTCTCCTGGTTGTGCTTGCAGAGTTTGAGCTCTGGCTCTTGGGTCCCGCCTATCTGGAAGCACTTGCAGGATAGTACCAGTGGAGTGCAGTGGTGCTATAGGCACAAT